CCTGTGAAGTTCGCGCTATCTCGAGGATAAAAATGTCCGAGCTCGAGGACCTAATTTCAACCGCGAATGCGATTGCACGCTACGACACAGGTGTGCGCATTATTTTCTCACAGGAACTCTTGGATAATAAGATTCTAATAATGTGTATTTGGTAAGCGAATAAATGGATAATCTGAATATTTACGCCGTTACGATGTCAAAGGAGAGCAACGACTCTGCGCGCGTGACACGCACGTGAATCGCGGCATTTAATAAACATACGTTTGACGATAGCGTCTCGGTGAAATACGCGCAACGGTCAGCCGTCCTCTGCATTCCGATCACGCGTGATACAACTGCGGTCTAGTAATTTGTCGATTCTACTGCGCCACGTGACGCGCAGTTCGCAAACCGAATTCGCACAATTTCCGCGCCCGCACGAGCGGTTGTGTTCTTTTATTCTTTTCGCGGCAGCGGCACGCACCGAAGCGAGAAATATTCATAGCGCTCGTCATGCGCAACACGTTTTATTTTGCAACGGACCCTACATCGTTACGGTCCGCATACGGTCGCGTGAGGGCTAACGAGAGGATTAAAAGGCCGACTATCCCCTTTAACCCCTTCAAAAAAGGGACGCGGAGGGCAAGTTCGCGAAACTCATCACACGTGGCCGGTAGCTCCGACGAATTTCACTCTCTCGGTCGTCTCTCGGCGCACTTCCCGAAGGCGCGAGCGAACGAAACTATAATAATCAGCCAGCGGCGCACCGCCCAGCCACGATCGTTCATTAGCGAAGCGCGATTCAAGGTCGCGCGGCGAACAGCGCGCAACGCCTAAACGACGATCACACCTGACCGCTCCGCCAACAACCGCCTCCTGCGGCGTTCCGTTCCCGTAAATTCTCGAGGGTGATGATATCCGATATCGGGCGAAACGTCGACGGGGACGCGCGCGACCTGTCAATCCGAATGACAGTTGACCGAGTGACCCGCAATCCGCACAACACGCACGACACAGCAGCCGAGCTCCCCCCTCCACGCTTTCCCATGCGTCTCACACACGATTTTGCTCCCGATTTGCGTCGACCGTACCGTCCGTCGGCCACGTTTTGACGTTTAAGAGACATGTACGAGCTTACCACCTTGTTTACGCACGGGCATCCTTCCTTTCCCTCGTAGGCGCCTCGCAGGGGACGAAGGATGACGACAGCGACGACGGCTTCCAGGCACGGACGCGCTGTTACGGAGCAGTCCAAGACGGACACACGGAAAAACGAGGCGACGACACGAACGAACGAACGACGAGGTACGACTGTGCGCTCGCGGCCGACTGTCACTTGGACGCAGACGACACCCCCGGTTTCCCCGAGTCGCGCACGGATGTCGTCGCAACACCAGCTGTCACGATAATCGGCGGTCTGTTTCGCGTTTTGCGGACGCGTTCGTAATGTCACTCGCGAGAATCCGCCGCGACGGCCCGTAGGAAACGTGCGAGAACGTAACGCGATATAAACACACTCAGGCCGCCGCCACCACTCGGCCACGGGCAATATGGCGTCCCGCCTGGTCTAGCAGCCGGAAAACCGACTGGCTGGCAGGGGTGGAATGCCCGGCCCGGATTGGTCCGCCGGCCGCCAAAATGTGACGTCACCGGCTCGCTCTCTCACCCGCTCGTCACGCGCTACTCTACGCCGCGCGCAAACAACCCCCTTCGCGCACCACACACCCGCGGCCGTACGCTTTCCTACCCTCCACGTTCGCGAAGCCGTCGATATTCGATTGTTACCCCAGCTACCCGATAATCGCGCCGCCCGTTCTCGAGCTCCGTGCGGCCAAGCGCTCGCGACCTTCCGCGATTCGAACCAGCGCCGCCCGTCCTTACCGTTCCACGTCACTGAAGTTACGCTCCGATGAACGCTCGGAAGACGCGCGTGAAGCTGCTCGATTAATTTAAATATCAAACCGCCGATGAAATGTCGGACCGACGCCACGATAGAAAGAGGTATCGAGATCGAGTGATACGTTAGCGAATGTCGATAAGCGGAGATTCGTGAACGGGGAATATTGATAATCCGACGTAATCGTAGGAATTAGTGGCGTTCGCGATGCGAAAATCAACGATACGAGCGATTTAACGAAATAGCATTACGTATGTGAGAGTTACGTGCGTGTTATAACTTGCATAATATAAGAACGGGATTATCTTCAAACGTTTCCGAATTCGGTTTTACCTCATATCGTAACCGTCCTTTTACAGTGATCGACATGATGCGCTCAGGGAGGTTGGATCAGATCGATGATAAATTTAAGAACAGAAACGCGCGATCGATGTTGTTTCGCAGTAATTTCGGAAGCGTCACGCGCGAACGTTGTTCAGCGAACCGCCAGAAGACACGAAATCCTGAACTATGACTGTGATATTGTGACTATGCGATATTTGTTCAATATTTAAATACGTTTTTGTACCTTCCGTTCGCGGCCATGTCTGTACTGGACAATTAATTCGGTGCACCGACTGAACGCGGCGCTACTAATCAGGTGTGTAACTGCTGCTATCTAGTGACAATGTGCAGTAGTATGAAAAACATGAACGATTTATTCTTTGCTAATGAAGCTTCAGAACAGGTTTTTATCTAATATAACTAGAATAGCTAGAATACTTGAATAACTAGAATACTTGAACCGAAATCCAAATAAGGCCCATCATAATCTTTAAAGACCGATTGATCTAATTTTTTGGTAAGATTTATCTTACAACAATCTATTGACAATCTGACAAGTATCTATTAGACATCAATGATCGTTGTTGATTGGTCTATCCAATAGGTACCTGTCGGGTAAATTTAATGAAGAAATTGGAACAATCAGCATTAAGAAAGGCAAATTGAATGTACAGGGCGTGAAAAAAGAAAAGCTTCTTGTCTTCAAGAGTATATATCCATACAGTATAAATCTCCAAGGGACATCTTAAAGATATCCAAAGGACGTCCTAAAGATGTAACTCGAATAAAGTATGCTATGTGAATAGTACACTCATGAAACAATGAAAATATGTCTTTAAAATTTTCAATCCCTTCTTAACACTTTGCGGGCCGCTGTCACGCTGACGTGACTTTTGAAGGCGAGCAGTAGAACCTGCGTGAATCTCGCCGGCGGCAGCGTAACGGCGCTTCGATAAATGCGCGGCCCGCAAAGTGTTAATATATATATAATTTTTATATTAATATCTCGCACTCTAAAAATTTGATCTGGGTCGTTAAATCTCCTAATAATGATCAACACAAAACTGAACACCTAATAGCGTCTTTATTAAACATAGTTATCACTCTTACTAACACACATACGCACGCACGTACACACATGCACGCACACACATTTGCATTACTCCCCTATTTAAATATTGCACTATTTTTTATATTTTTCTTTGGCAGAACATTCAATCCCTGTTGACATTGATATATAGGGAAATAATTGAACAGGATTACAATTTGTGAGGTATCTTGAATAATTCAGAATAGATTTTATGTGATACTACAGAATTGTGTTATCAATAATAATTATTAACAATTTGGTACTACACTGTGGAAATTGTAAAGACATCATCCTCACGTTTTCTGGACTTCTACAATTTTAAAAATAATTAAAGATTAAGAACCATATCTTTTCATGTATAACATAATTTTTATTTGTAAAAATAAATATACGTATTTATCTCAATTTTAATTTTATTTGCGACTTAGTTTTTGTAATTAGAGATAGATATAATCCATGTCTTTAATATAGAATTCTGCATGCATATATGCAAAATATATTAGTAACTTCGCTGTTTAGATAGTGAAATTTTTAAAAGTATATATCGTCATGGCAGTATTTTCAATGCTAATAATTCTCATAACACGACCTATTATGTCGTGTACTTTTAACTAAATATTTTTAAA